AAGTACGGCTGAGCGGACGGGAAGCCCTGTTTTCCACACCCTATGGTCGTATGTGGTCGAATGATGGCATCCGCTGTTGAAATGTGCCAAGTATGTATCATGGGTTGAGGCGTGAAGGCAATAAGGGCCTGGCGGTGGGGCCTGGTGGAGATGGAGACCTATTGCTTATTATTCCAGAACCCTGAGCCGCGATGTACGCAAAGCCCAAGCCCCAGTTGCGCCAGCCCTCACAGAAGTCTGTTCGTCCGGATGCCAGCATGTACCTGAAGGATCAAAGAGAATGAAGGGGCATACAGATGTTCCAGCAACCCAGGAATTGATTGACATTCTGCAGCCGGCAGTACGCGCGTTGCACTAGGGTTGTACAACTGGCCGGCGGCAGCTTGTACACGGAGCGAGATACTGGCAGCAGGTGGGCCCGAGGGGTGGGTTGAGCACGCTCAACTCGGCGGCTGGCGCATTGGATTGCCTGGCCCTGTAGTGCCGTCGCTGTGACCCCTGGAACTAGATATGTCAGGGCGACACGCGATACACGAAAATGCAGAAACCGGACAGGGCGTGTGGCGGCTGCATGACGCCGTTGAAGGTCAGGACCATGACGAAGAGTAGGGTTGCAATTGTGCCACCGGATTCTGCTTCGGGCAATGCGGTAATTATCTTTGAAGAGAACGTCGAGGCGAAGATGTAGAATTGTATGAAAAACAGTAACATGGGCCCCTGCCGTTGGGACGACTGGCTCGCCCCGTAAGTCGGTTGATAGTATACAGGGCCAGACGATGATACCGGCGAAAATCTGGCAGGGTATGTTGACGGATAAGGTATCCGTAATGGTCGAACTGATCGCTCGTACGGTCCAAGAACTGAATCGTTGAGTTCGAGACCATCGAGCATGTCCTTGCGTTCAATGCCCAGGCCAGTGACTGCAGAATCCCGTCGGCCCATGCTTGGGAGACCTCGACATAATGCGAGCCAGCTCTGCGCTCTGCTCTGGCGGCATATACTCAGTCACAGTGCTTTCACCTCGCTGCCGCGACTGGTCTGGTCGTTGGTTTCTTGCCCGGCGTCCTGTATAGTCTGATCGGCAGATTCTGGCTGGATAAAGCATTCAGGTTCCTCTAACTTGAATGTGCAGTCTCCAAGATATGTTCTAGGCTTCCTGTGAGTATAAACATAGGAGAGTCTAGCGTTGCTGGGTAGAATGAGAACACAATCAGTGAGAAACTGTCTCAGTTAACATACATGCTTTTGTGGCATAGCCACAGAGCTGATAGGTGCAGAGAGTAGATAATAGAGACATCTAATCACCACTGCTTATTGGTTTCATTAAGAACCTCATTTTCAGTACTTCCTTTCTGCATAAGCGCTGTAAAAAAGTACTCCATACTTATTTTTATGACAGCTGTGTCGTTAGCATGAGGGGACGGATGACTCCCCCATTAGTACAAGACGTGATGTTGATACCTGAGGTGTCCACCGGACAGAACAATAAGCTCCTCCAATAAGAATACTCATGTCTATCTCCGCCCAGGGATCCCCACCATAAAAATCAAACAAAGCAAACACAGACAAAAAAAAGACAAAAGGAAAAGAAAAATGGTCGAGGCCGCATCGACATTGAAGAAAAGAAAGAAGAATATACGCCATTGCAATTACACGAGTCCGACCCGTTCCTGCTCCTTCGTACATGAATAAAACAAAAACATAGATCGTCAATCATGAGCAATTTGCAAAAAGCTCCTTTTGTCAAGGAGCTCGCCTCCAGCGGTATGTCCATGGAAATACTGAACGCTGTATAGCTTCACTTTGCCAGTCCGAACACCTTAACTAACAAGCCCCTCTATCCAAACAGACAGGCGCACACGCGACAAGGCAACCGAATCCCTAACCCTCTTCCTCCGCTCCAGAACCGATCTCACCCTCCTCGACCTCCTCAAGCTCTGGAAAGGCCTCTTCTTCTGTACGTTCTTTCCCGCCCAACCCAGACTCCAGGAACTATTCAGCCGACTAACCATCACCCAATCGCACAGGCTTCTACCACTCCGACCGTCCCCTCACACAACAAGCCCTAGCCCGCAACCTCTCCTACACGCTGGTCCCGACTCTCCCGCGGGAAACACTCCACCGCTTCCTGCGCGCATTCTGGATCACCATTGGCAGGGACTTCCACTCGCTGGACCGCCTACGACTCGATAAATATCTCTACCTGATCCGCTGCTACGTAGGCGTCGCATTTGAGATCTTCCTCAAGGGGAACAAGCAGCAGCAGTCCGCACACACCAACGGCGCCAGCAAAAAGCGCAAGCGCGAACAAGAGGCCGCAGCGGGGAAGAAGAAGCGCTCGAAAGCAGACAAGGAGGACGATGCCCGTGCTGAAGATGATGCGGAAAAGGGACAGGATGGCGAGAGCGACTGGGCCGAGCTCGAGTCGTATATCACCATCATCGAGGAAGGGCCTCTGTGTCCGCTCAATTTCGACCCGGATCAGCCCCCTGCCGATGAGAAGAACCCGAACTACGTGCCTATGCCCCATGGCCCGGATGGGCTCCGCTACCACCTGCTGGATATTTGGATTGATGAGATAGAAAAGGTGCTTGAGTTCGAGGAAGGGGAGGCACAAGATGGGTCTTCGCGGAAAGTCAAGGGTCAGGTTCCCATGGATCTCCTACTACGCCCTATTGAGAAGCTGCGCAAGGAGAGCCCCTTCAAGCCTGTGAGAACAAGAGCGGCAGAAACCTTAAACGACGACCGATTGGTTCTGTGGGGATTCAAGACTAGGGAAGTTGAGGAGGAGGATGACGATGATAGTGAGCAGGAATGGGGTGGTTTCGCCGACGACTAAGCTCTCGGCCGGTGAAAGACAAAATTCATTTTTTTCGCATTTCTCTCCGGCGCATGGTAGTGATGGTTTTGCATGTCCATTTAACCTTGCTTGGAGCAAGCCGTCTTGTCGACTCTTGCTATCTAAATCAATCTTTGTACAACCAAAATCCATCAGTTCCTGGTCTGACCTAGCCCATTATGTATACATGGCAATGACCGCTGCCCGCAAGCCTTGCTGCCATGTCACCTGCCGTAAATCCGCATCACAACAAAAGAGGGGAAAAGAAAAATTATATAAGTCTTGCGCGAGGGTATCATTTTGTGGTACAGAGACCGGCGAATAACAATACGTGTACGAGCAAATGAATGAGGGAAGATGGCATCGACCATAAAACTCGTAATCATGGCCGAGGGCCCTCGGCCTCGTAAAGGTGTCCGGACTTCGACAACACCGTACCTAGACCACGATGAACTTCGACTTGGAACGGCTCAAAAGGTACACGTTCACCATCGACACTGATGTAACCCTCTTTCTCCCGGGGAGTGAGTCGATATGCCGAAGCCTTACGAATCTTAACATCCGGCATATCAAAAAATCCTCCCTCAGGAATCTCTGTCATCATTTTCAGCGATGTGAGGCGGCTGATGGTTCCATCAATGGTGACAACATCAATCAGACCGTCATTGGGCAGAGAGGCCGGAAAGAAGTTCGTGTCTGCGGACATAATGGCCATATTGCCCGCGTAGAAATTGCCCATGTTCTCACCCGGGACGACTTCCCAGTCGTGCGGGAGCTCGTCCAAGACCGTGCCGTACTTCAAGTCGGGGAGCCCTCCCGATCCGGCGACGGTGTCTTCAGACGGGGGGCGGGGAGGTTCTCCGGCCGCGTACTTTCTGTAATGCTCCTTTATCGCGTTCTTGTCATCGATCTCCACTTTCACCGCTAGGTCACATGGCCACACTGTGCGCTGCATGAGACGGACCAAGAAACCGTAGGTGAAGCGGTGGGCACCCATCCACCGGATATTATCGGTTCCTAAGTCAGATTCTGCGATGATACCAAAAGATTGCGACAGGAACGACAGGGTTCGGGTTTTGCCCTGCGTGACGGAGACCAGATCCATGGGAGTCCTTACTCCTTTGACAATTGCCAGCGTAGCAACGGAGACACTACCTGTCCCGCAAAGGTTCCAAGCCATGGCGTTCCCGGAACCACCAGGTATCATGGCGACAGCGAGCTTAGATAGCGCCTCACGAGCATTAGGCTTCTTGGCCAGACCATTGAAGACCTCGTATGGCAATCCATCACCGGAGCAGCATACAATTGCATCGTATGCGTTTATGTCAATCTGTTCCGCTATCTCGGTTGCGTGTCCCCCATGCGTTGTCTCTTCTACTTCCACTACACAATGCGCAGCAGCAAGGAGCGGCGCCGCGTATTGGTGATACAGTCGCGAGGCGATACCCTTCCCACCAAACGGGTTGATCAGGACCTTGAATCTCTTATAGCGCTTGGCATTACCGTATGCCAGATCAAGTAATCTGGCCGTGAATGCTTCGGCGTTTGCTTTGTCTTCGTCCGCAATGGTGTATTGCAAGACACCAACGGTAACATCGTGCTTGGTTACAGGGTCCGCATACGTGATAGTCAGACCTGCTGAGGAGACTTCTGCATGAAGGATGTTGTACAATGCGATAGATCGAGTTTCTTCGGTCTCTGTATTATCCACTCACATTAGCCATGGTCCTAATTAGATCGGACGATTAATTTGCCTTGAAATATGCCTGATTCAGATCGCAAGAGCAGCAAGTGCCTATTGATATCCGAGACACACGATAAAAGTCGAAGAGATAGAAAAGCGAAGTAATGGAGAAACCTACTCGACTTTGACAGTAATCCGCAGCAGCTGCGGTCCGGTTTTCGCGTGGAGCGATCGTCTGTAGAAGTACGAGAAGCTGGTTAGAATACGCAATGTGCAACCATGACCTGCAAGCATGGATTGTCAGACACTGCTCACCAGCAATAACAAGCGCATCGCTACCCAAAGTCAAGGTAATTGACTGTCCAACTGTCAACTTCGAGTCGGGTTGGAGTAACTGAGATTGGGAATCCGGCTGATCCGCATTGAACGAAGGGCGAGTAGCGCCGTCGGGAGAAGCCATTATTACCTGCGAAAGCAAGTAACCATTCCAAAAAAGAATATAGAAACGGCCAAAAGACAAGACAATAGCGATAATCAATAATGATAGTCAATATAAAAATGAAAAAGGCAAGAACTTCTTGGAGGATGTTGGAGAGTGAGGTAGAGTCAGCTTTGACCTAGGTACTTATTATTTCTTAGTAGTTATGGAGAGAAAGAGGTTAGTCCCAATATATTGGAGATCTCAGAGTGGATTAGTTTCTCCACCTCAGGAACAGCTTCCTTGGATGTTGTTCATCGTGCCTAATCAGGCCAAGTAGCTTCGGAAAGGCGGAAACTAATAGCCAGGAAAATGTCTCGCCTAGTAACAGTCAATTTAAGTGTCCTACTTCTACAGCCAATTGATGATGACACGTAGAGATTTCCATGACTGACACAAGCTACCGAGGACAAAATCTCTCGGTCGAGTGTGTAGTCGGTGGTTTGAAGTTGATGAACTATGATTGTCTCCACTGACCCTTATCAACCGAGATGCCACGCTATTATTGGCGTTATCGGTTAGTTGCTCAGTTGTCCGTGCTCATTCTTGCCCAGTGACATCCTGACTGAAGGACCACTAAGGAATTGGGAAAAGTTCTTTTGTTGTTCCATCTGAATAGACCATTCTCTAATCAGGTACAATAAGGAAAGAAATAAAAGTGGCATATAGTCAACAGATTCGTCCATAGGAAGAGAAAAAAAAAGAGTAATCAAGAGCCATGTAATACGGGTGACTATAATCATAGGGTAACAATTAATCAAACGCTGACACCAAGAAGTCATACTGTCTCTCTTCATGCCGTTGAAGCCTTCAGGCCCTTCAGCGACCCTAGGCTCAAAGCAAGACCTTGGGAACGGCTTCTTATCCGTACGAATCCTGTAATCGGACCATCTTCGCCCTCCTTCTCAATGCTCAGGTTTGCAAGTGCGTCCTCACCTGCATACAAATTCCAAGATCAGTGTTTGTCAACCCAAAAAAGAAGGATAGGATAACAATCGGGTACTCACCAAATACGCTTCTGGCATACAAATTGGCGCTCAGGAACCGGCAATCTCCCTTGAGTGAAGCTTCTGGAGTCAAGCAGGCCATGTTGGTGCTCTCCATGAGTTGTTTGAGGAACTCGCGAAGGCTCTTCGCCTTGGAGTTGATGTTGACCTTGTTCTCCCACTCGAACTCGGTCCACATCGTCCGGAATTGAGTCTCGGTGCAGTGAGCGGGCTGGATGTAATCCATGATATCTGCATGGATATCATTAAGAATGACAACATGGGTTTCCGTCGAGCTTGCTCCATCATATACAATGTTGCCGAAGATGACACCCGTATCTGTGGATGACACCTTGACTGTAGCCTGTACATTCAAAAAGTCACGAGGTCCAAGGTTGTGCGTGGTTGGTCGCTCAACAACCTTCAGATCACCAAGAGTGGCAAATTCAACAGACAGGTTTTGCAAGGTCTCAAGAGTCTGGTTGACAAGGAGCACATCGAGAACGATGTCAAATTGATGGACGGTGACATAAGCCTCGGCGTAAACTGGATCTGAGAAGCCGGTAAGCTGCACAACTCGGCTCAACTTCGAGGCCACAGTCTCCACAGTCGAATCGCCGCCAGTAGCCCTGGCCAGGTCAAGTTCCATTTCTTCTGCACCCTCGAGACCAGACTTCTTGGTGAACTGCCGGATGGGAATCGCATCGTCAACCTGAACAGCAGTCTTGGCCTTCTCAACAGCTTCTTTGGCAGCACGCTTCTTATCTTCCACCTGTACCATATCACGGAATGCTTTACGTGTGTCTTCCAGGAAGGTAGTCTCCAACTCCTTTCTTTGAGAAAACTCACTGAGAGAGCGCACGCAGCACATGATACGATCAATAGAATCTTCGTCAATGGGAGCCTTGACAAACTGAGACTGTCCAACGCGGATAATAGAGATCATGATCAACATCGCTTCAGCGCGCAGTGCGTTTGTCCGAGCGACGTCCTGCGAGACTTCCGAGTGGCGCATTACAAGTTTCGTTAACGTCGAGGAGAGAACGGTAGCTAGGTAGTAGTCACCCTCGAGAATCAACTGACGAAGAGGAGGCTTCTGAGCAGCCTTGACTGCCTCAAGTCTGGCGGCAGCAGCGGACTCGCTAGTCAAAGCACTCTCAGTCGCATACGTGCCATCGGCCAGCACCTTTCGAGAACCAGTCGGAGCTGAAGGCTTGGTATGACCGTTGATTTGCTCTTTGAGTGCAGTCTCATCGGGCACCTCGTCAAGAAGCCGCTGTTCAGAAGCCAAAATGGGGATCTCGCCGAGGCTTGACCGGATCCGCTTCCAGGCCTCACGGATGTCTTTCTCCTCCAGGGAATACTCTCCGACAACCCACAGTACACCACGGTAGACCTTTCCAGCACGAACTTCGCTCAAAGTAGAAACGAGGCGGTCGACGATAGAAGCACGAAGTTTAGGGAATTTCTCCACAACTTCCTTCACAAATGAGATCACATCGACGGCTGAGTTATTGTTGAAGTCCGCAATGAAATCCATCAGGAGGTCGACGACGCTAGCAGCGATCTCGGAGAACTTGATAGCACAATGGTGTATCGACTGGATCAGGAGCTGACGATATTCGCTGTTCTGTGCACGTTGTCAGTATTCGATCCTTGCCGCAGATCAAAGTATATCCATACCTTCTCGTACTGCTCATCTACCGTCTTGCCTAGTTCCTTCTTCAGCAGCATGACGACCTCTTCAACATTCTTGCTCGAGACCATTTCCAAGGCGATACCGAGAGCTTTGCGCCGAACGTCAATGTCAGGGCTGGAGAGAACACGAAGAATTTCCATGGTAAGATCATCC